TATTAACCCCTTAACGTGCACGCTCGAGTTAACTCGAGCGCGCTAAACTGGCCAAACTGTGCTCACTCGAGATAATTCGAGCGGCGTTGTACTTTATGTTGCTATAATTTTTCACACTCGAATGAAATCGAGAATTGAAAATAACAACGTGAAAGCAAAAAGAAACAATCGTTTTATTGATATTTATCATTTACATGGGATTGTAAGCTATAACACTTACTTATTCAAGTATAAAATATATCCTTTTTCTACTTATCACACTTACGACTTATCTCTTCCTTGTGAGCCGCTTTCCGACAGCGTATTCATATTCAGATTCTGATTCGCTCATTTTTCAATATATACTTTACTAAAATATAATGTAAAATAAAATATAACAATAATAATAATAATAACAATAATAATAATAATAGTAATATTCTGAAAATTAGAAATCATAGCAATTGTATAAATATCCATTATTTTTGTAATTTTCTTGCCAAGACAACGTTCTAAATTGTGTTTTTCTACATTTAAAAAAATTGATTTTTTTTGGCCGGCCTTTTTCAAAACAACTGTGCATTAAGGGTTTAATTGCGTGTACAATAATAGTTTGTACAGTTGCACAAATAGATGGAACAAAGAATGTTCTTCGAAAGAACGCCGGAACCGGCTCACTAAAAGGTTAAGCACTCGGAGTTCTCGATTAGTTCTCCGAACGTGTCTTTCTCGCAGATGTTCGGCGAAAGTTTCGTTAAATAAAAGCAAGTTCTCGCGCACGTGGCGATCGCAAGCGATATTACGGAACTTTGCTAATGCGATGAGCATAGTCTGTCGTGTCGGTTACTTTGATGCGGTAACCTCGTTATCTGCTACGTAACGATGCCCGCCTAATTCGTCATTTTGAATTAGTTTCCAATGACTCGTATTCGCCACGCCTTTCATCGATCAAAATGGACGTCCTGATTTATGATCGCGCGACATATTTGAAGATGATAAGCACCGTGAGCATGCGTGAAGTATGTTTTCGGCAATCTTCATCGTCATTTCTGCCATTCGAAGTATCGAAAAATGTTGCGATGCTTTTTTATACGACCTGAACTTATTTTATAATCTTCGCTTCTATTTTCTATTGTTCTGCTGTTTTATTTCGAATCTTCTATTTCTTTTTCATGGTAAAGGATACGTAACATTTACTAATTTAGCAGTTTTTAAATATCGTTAACTCTGCCATAATATTTGTCTAACGCGTAGGTAACGCCATTTTCAGCTTTTAATAAACGAATTCAAATAATTCTTTCAACGTTGTATTTCCAATATCGCGATCAAATATTTTCTGATAAAGGTCGAGCATCGTTTTATTGAAAGGATCGGAATGCACTGTGAAAATATTACCATCGACGGAAGTAGCTTCCTCCGAAATGTAATATTTCTATATTTACTCGATTCACTCGCGAACGGTATTTCGTTTATTGGAGGGGCCCCTCTTCATGATTCGAACACGTCGGAAAGTAATGAAAGCGGTCTAAAAATAACCATCGATCATGCGGATTTTCTATCCTGAGGGAGAGAAAGAGTGTCCGACAGGAGTATACGGAATACTCTCCGGGGAGTGGCCGCGAAAATGAAAGCGGTGTGTCGCGTGACTTCTATAGGGTTGGAACTAATAACTCCGAGCCCTAAAATTTTTGGTAGGCAACGTAGAAGCGTAAACATCCGCCGTATACAATCTGTTAAAATTATTCTACCTTAATTATAATTATTTCATCGATCGGAATCGTTTCAATTCATTAGAATTTTTACAAATATTCTTACAAAAATGACAATTAAAATCGTTGCGAAAATTACAAGAATCGGGAAATAAACAAAGATATATTTTCTTTCTTACTAGCTTTAGTAACTTTTATAGAGAATAAAAATTGTCTGCATCGATTGTACGCGACAAGAGTTAAGCGGAGAGCCTTCTAACAGCTTCAACAATTAAAAAATAGTGTAAAAGGACTCCGAAATCCTTGCGTCGTCTTCGCGCTTTTGCATTTCTCTCGTCCAAGTTTAACACGAATCCATAAAATTCGCAATCTAATTACGAGAATATTCCACTGTCGTCGCAAATTTGGGATGTTTTTAGCAAATTAGCCTGCGCGAAGAAAGTTTGGACCAAATCGTAACAATCCGCGATTCAGTGACACGACGATGTCCCGTGCCTTTCAAACTGTTCAGAGCCGTCTACCGTCTCCTTTCAGGTGAACATAGCTGATCTGAAGAAGTACAACTGCAACAACGGCAGCGAGTGCAGCGTGCTATCGGGGGTATTCGATTGCAGCCTCGGTCATTGTGCCAACTACAGCGAGCTGATGCTCTGTCATCACAAAGCCGACGGCATCGTGGTCGACAGCGAGAAGGACAACATGAAGCTAAACGGTTTCTTCAGCTGCCAGAGCTCCAGATGCACGAAGATCAAGCCTCCGTTCAAATGCGATCGATACTGCCCGAAGATCTCCACGTCCGAGGCGAACGTGTTCCTCATGCACGACGATAACGTCGTCACGGCAAGGTGCGAACGAGGATTGGCATTGAATATGGCCAACGGAAATTTGCCTGGAACTAGGCTGACCACGCCCGTCAACATTTGGAACAGTCGGAACACCAGCATTGTTGCCAGTTGCATGGCTGTTCACGCGGAGAGGGGGATCGTAAGGTAACATTAAGAATCGATTGTTATCTCCATTCGTGCGGTCGGTGCACGATAACTCCGCTTAACAGGGTTAACGCGATTTATACGCGTAAAATAATCATCTATGAACCGGTGCTAAATGCACGTCCGTCTCTTCCTTTAACCCTTAGTGCTCCACGCGTTTCTCGAGTACTACTTACCAGCAACTCCGGCATATTTTTGGAGCAAAGCGACTGAAATAAAGGAAGTCTTATTTTGAGCGGAAAAGATTACACGTCCTCGTGAAAGCGTTTGATTTTATTCATTTTATGTTGCTAAGTATAAAAATGGGCAAAAAATGTTTTAATCGTAATGGTATCTACTCAACATTGTGCGAGGTCGGTGCATCGACATCGTGAATTGTGACCGAAATTTCCAAGCAGCAAATGCATCCTCATCGAAATGGGTAAATTTACTATTAATGATATTCTTCACAATTCTTTAATAAATATATCCCCCATGTTTTTTGACGCGATTTATTATAAAATTAGCATTGCGAATCGTCTGCTGAATTCTGTTTGGATACGGAATTATCGAAACAAAAATATTTTTTGCGCGAGTTTGCCGGAATTTTTTTATCGTTAATCTTCGCTGGAAACGGCTCGATCAATAATTAAATTAAATTAAAAATTAGTAAATATTCTTCGGACGTTCTAAAATAAAGTTGAACAGCGTTTTTCTGAAAAATATCACTACCAGCAACTCCGGCACATTTTTGGTGCAAAGCGCCTGAAATACAGGAAGTCTTATTTTGAGCGGAAAAGATTACACGTCCTTGCGAAAGCGTTTGATTTTATTCATTTTATGTTGCTAAGTATAAAAATGGGCAAAAAATGTTTTAATCGTAATGGTATCTACTTAACATTGTGCGAGGTCGGTGCATCGACATCGTGAATTGTGACCGAAATTTCCAAGCAGCAAATGCATCCTCATCGAAATGGGTAAATTTACTATTAATGATATTCTTCGCAATTCTTAAATAAATATATCCCTCGTGTTCTTTGACGCGATTTATTATAAAATTAGCATTGCGAATCGTCCGTTGAATTCTGTTTGGATACGGAATTATTGAAACAAAAATATCTTTTGCGTGAGTTTGCCGGAATTTTTTTATCGTTAATCTTCACTGGAATCGGCTCGATTAATAATTAAATTAAATTAAAAATTAGTAAATATTCTTCGGACGTTCTAAAATAAAGTTGAACAGCGTTTTTCTGAAAAATATCACTACCAGCAACTCCGGCACATTTTTGGAGCAAAGCGCCTGAGATAAAGGAAGTCTTATTTTGAGCGGAAAAGATTACACGTCCTTGCGAAAGCGTTTGATTTTATTCATTTTATGTTGCTAAGTATAAAAATGGGCAAAAAATGTTTTAATCGTAATGGTAACTACTTAACATTGTGCGAGGTCGGTGCATCGACATCGTGAATTGTGACCGAAATTTCCAAGCAGCAAATGCATCCTCATCGAAATGGGTAAATTTACTATTAATGATATTCTTCACAATTCTTTAATAAATATATCCCCCATGTTTTTTGACGCGATTTATTATAAAATTAGCATTGCGAATCGTCTGCTGAATTCTGTTTGGATACGGAATTATCGAAACAAAAATATTTTTTGCGCGAGTTTGCCGGAATTTTTTTATCGTTAATCTTCGCTGGAAACGGCTCGATCAATAATTAAATTAAATTAAAAATTAGTAAATATTCTTCGGACGTTCTAAAATAAAGTTGAACAGCGTTTTTCTGAAAAATATCACTACCAGCAACTCCGGCACATTTTTGGAGCAAAGCGCCTGAAATAAAGGAAGTCTTATTTTGAGCGGAAAAGATTACACGTCCTCGTGAAAGCGTTTGATTTTATTCATTTTACATTGCTAAGTATGAAAATGGGCAAAAAATGTTTTAATCGTAATGGTAACTACTTAACATTGTGCGAGGTCGGTGCATCGACATCGTGAATTGTGACCGAAATTTCCAAGCAGCAAATGCATCCTCATCGAAATGGGTAAATTTACTATTAATGATATTCTTCACAATTCTTTAATAAATATATCCCCCATGTTCTTTGACGCGATTTATTATAAAATTAGCATTGCGAATCGTCTGCTGAATTCTGTTTGGATACGGAATTATCGAAACAAAAATATCTTTTGCGTGAGTTTGCCAGAATTTTTTTTATTGTTAATCTTCGCTGGAAACGGCTCGATCAATAATTAAATTAAATTAAAAATTAGTAAATATTTTTCGGACGTTCTAAAATAAAGTTGAACAGCGTTTTTCTGAAAAATATCACTACCAGTAACTCCGGCACATTTTGGGTGCAAAGCGCCTGAAATAAAGGAAGTCTTATTTTGAGCGGAGAAGATTACACGTCCTTGCGAAAGCGTTTGATTTTATTCATTTTATGTTGCCAAGTATAAAAATGGGCAAAAAATGTTTCAATCGTAATGGTACACACGCTAAGCACGTTTTCACTACAAATAACAATTGCCAACGTCGACAAAAACGTAGTATCTTCGGTGTAATCATGCTAAAAACATTGGGGTCCGCAGCAGAGCCTTCGGATTTACGGAACAAATGACGGATGTCTCCATAGCGAAGCCAACAGAGCGTTAAGGGTTAATTATTTTAACGCCAAACCTAAGTACAGTAATTTCTCTCTAATTTGCGCTGAGATTGCGCGCGCAAAAATGGACAATTTGGGAAGAGAAGATTCGATTACTCGAGCCTTGCGTCTCGTTTTTATGGTTGTTGACGATCGGTAATTATAAAAATGAGCCGCGAGGCTCGAATGATCGCGTCTCTTCTTCCCAAATCGTCCACTTTTGTGCGCAATCTGAGCGCGAAATTACTGAACCGCGCGGGTCATTTCGACTGGTTTCGCATTACAACTTTTACGATCGTTGATATATTGGGTCGTTCGGAAAGTTGTTTCGTTTCTCAAAAAAAATTTCGTTTTGTAAGCTCGTTAAAGAAGCACGTGATTCAACAAACAACGGGGCTTCCACGAGAAGCGTGTTTGAAAACACCAAAAAAATATCGGAATGTTCTTTTTTATTTGAAACGTTAAAAAATTGTCTTTTATTTTCTCGTGAAAGAACGAAACAACTTTCCAAACGACCCAATAATAGAGACTCTTTTGCATCGTGTAATGATCGAACAGATTTATTCGTTCAGGCATACGTCGGAAGAAATACGGCGAAGAGTCTGAACAAACTCGAACATGACCAAATAAGAATTGCATGATTCATGATGACCGACGTCGATTGAAAATATAGATACCCTCGTTCCATTTTTTCGGCTCGTCTTACGACGTTGTTTACCAAGAGACACGTATCATTGATCTGAGAGGAAGTAGACTGTAGAGGAAGTTGGTGCGATCAAGAGGATCGTGGGAGGACAAACGGACGGAGGTTGAACGCACTCGACTGTGCCGAACAGCGTTCCGAGTCCCTAAAACTCGTTCATTTCACCGTGATAGTTTTCATGCTTTCGTTCGAAGCGATTCGTACGTTCGCCGCAAGCGACCCTCGAGATACGATGAGCGACCGCACACAATGGAACTTGCGAAAGAAACTGCTGCGAAACTCCGGATCGATCGCGCAATCCCTCGTAAAAGCACGCCATTCACCATTCCGCGTCGCTATCTTTGGCGTTAACGGGAAATCCTTTGGCTTTGGGGTCCTATGAGCCTGAAATACCGGCACGGTCCGAATTACGTCACAGTCATATTCGGCCGATTCTATTTGCCTGGAATCGCGTTGAATTTTACGCGCCAGTCGCCGTCAATAGGATTCACCGTCGGAAACGATTCCCGTGGATCGATAAACGCGAAATGTTCGAGGAAACAGCCGGGAATCCATCTTCCTGACGTAACATGCGTCTAGCCATGGAATTTGTTTTAGCTATGTAATAAATACGTTGACTCGATTTTATAGAATTTATATTAGGTCTGGGAAAAAGTTCGTGGCGTTTTGTTAGTAAAATTCAACTGGATTTCTTATATTGTGAAAATGAATTTATTTAAACCAAATATACTCCATTATTATCGACAATGTTTCGCCATTTTTCGGGTAAAATCATGATGCCATCGGTGAAGAACTTCTGCGGTTCCTGGTTAAAAAACTGAATCAAGTGGTTTTCACAGGCTTTTTTTGAAGCCAGTTTAATTCCATTGAGAGAGTTCTGCAGAGATCGGAACAAGTGATAGTCAGAGGGTGCTATGTCCGGACTATGCGGTGGGTGCATCAAAATTTCCAAACCAAACTCTCGCAATTTTTTACGGGTCGTCAAAGAAATGTGTGGTCGGGCGTTGTCGCGATGGAAGACAACACTTTTCCTATTATGCAATTCGGGCCGTTTTTTTT